CGGGGCAGAGCAGCTCCAGTTGTCCGGCTGCCTGGAGCACTTCCGGGTTCCAGGTGGTGCCGGACTATCAGGAGTGCCGGACCACTGGATGCCAGACAACTGGAGTTTTACTGTACCATAACCCTAAGCCCTATATAATGTGGTGAAACACATAAGCAGCCCTGTAGGTGGGTGGTGGTAAGCGCAGTACCTCTACAGCTAGGTCTTAGAGCAGTGTTTCTTAAACTTTTTAAGACCGAGGAACACCAAACAATAATGTTTTTTATGAGGAACCCCAAGGATTTTTTGTTGAGCAAAAAGAAAAGGTCGGGGAGGGGAAAAGGATTGGGGGGAAAGTTAGAGGGGAAAAAAAGGGCCAGGAGAAAGTTGTTGACTCCCCCCCCCCCCCAAAAAAAAGTTGCCTGCCCCTTTAAGAGTGGTCATTTTGAATTCTGTTCTTCTCCCTGGCACACCTCCCACTGGAACACGGTTTAAGAAACACGGTCTTAGAGGCATGACCTTGTCAAATGCTAGAAAAATCTAATATAAACATGGCAAATGGTGTGCCCATCACACATGACAAACTGTTCAAGACAAAATTTAGGCTACAGCATAGCTTCAGACATCTTACCTTGTTTCCTTGCTGGTACTAAGAGTTTTTTCAACTACGTCAAACCAACCTGACTCCACTAACATGATGGAACACCTCCTCCTTTTGCCCCCAAGATACAACCTCAGACCTGATCTTTGTCTACTGAAAGTGTGGCCAAGGCAGGCGTGCTGGGGGAAGAGCTCTCCCAGTGGCTCTTATGTAAACCACTTCCATGAGGGGAGCCCCAGTTTGCACTGGTGCTTTCCAGTGCTGCAACTTGCTGTGCTCAGGGGTGTGTAAGTGTGTTTTTTCACACCCCTGACCCAGGAAGTTACAGGCTCTCAAGTGCCAGTGTAGACAGAGCCTAGGTCTACACAGAGAAGTTTTATGGACAGTTATGTTGGTTAAAGGTGTGGGGTTTTTTGGAGGGACATAACTATACCAATAAATGCCCTCGTGTAGACACCCTTATACCTGCATAAGTGCTAGGGCCAGGGAAAAGGACCCATATGAGTGTGGCCAGGCTAGATCGTTATTCTAGTGAACCACGGCCCACAGAGCCTCCAAGCCAGGGGGTGTCTGGGAGGGGCCCTGTGCCCCCATCCCCCCCCCCCACCGCCGC